CATTCTAGGCTGTTCTACTTCTGATACAGCTCTCTCCTAATGTGCCTACCAGGATAATGGAAGATGGTCTGAGTGCTTGGGCCCCTGCCACCTAGGTGGAAAACCTGGATGGAGTTCCAGGCTCATGGCTTTCGTTTGGCCCAGCCCGGGCCATTGCAGCCATTTGGGAAGTGAACCACTGGATGGAAGATCTGTCTCTCAGTCTCTCTCTCTCAATCTGTGTGTGTGTGCATGTGTCCTTCTCTCTGTAACCCTGCCTTTCAAATACATTAAATAAATAATTTATTAATTGTGAGATAGTAATACAGAGTCCCCATATGCCCCTTACATCTCTTATCCTGTTGTTAACTTTGCAATATATTTGTCACAGTTAAAGAACCACACCCAGCTTTCTCTATTTTTTAATCCAAACTCCTTTTATCCCTCTCACACCTCCCAGCCTCTAGCAGTCAGCATTCTGTGTTCAGAATGAGGTGTTTTTATTTTTGTTTCTGCTTCACTTTTTTTTTTTTTCGTGGACAGTGAGAGAGAGAGACAGAGAGAAAGGTATTCCTTTTGCCATTGGTTCACCTTCCAATGGCCGCCATGGCAAGCGCACTGCGGCCGGCACACCACACTGATCCGAAGCCAGGAGCCACCTGCTTCTCCTGGTCTCCCATGCGGGTGCAGGGCCCAAGCACTTGGGCCATCCTCCACTGCACTCCCAGGCCACAGCAGAGAGCTGGACTGGAAGAGGGGCAACCGGGACAGAATCCGGTGCCCCGACCGGGACTAGAACCCGGTGTGCCAGCGCCACAGGCAGAGGATTAGCTTATTGAGCCACAGGGCCGGCCTCTGTTTCACTTCTACATATGAGGGAGAATATGTGGTATTTTTCTTTCTGTTTGCCTTACTTCACTCAACATCACCTTCTCCAGTTCTGTCCATTTTGCTGCAAATGATGACGTTTTATTCTCTTTTTATTTTTTTGGTTGAATAGTATCCACTGTTTGTTTGTTTGTTTGTTTGTTTTGACAGGCAGAGTGGACAGTGAGAGAGAGAGACAGAGAGAAAGGTCTTCCTTTTGCCGTTGGTTCGCCCTCCAATGGCTGCCGCAGCTGATCTGATGGCAGGAGCCAGGTACTTATCCTGGTCTCCCATGGGTGCAGGGCCCAAGCACTTGGGCCATCCTCCACTGTACTCCCTGGCCACAGCAGAGAGCTGGCCTGGAAGAGGGGCAACCGGGACAGATTCCGGCACCCCGACCGGGACTAGAACCTGGTGTGCCGGCGCCGCAAGGCGGAGGATTAGCCTATTGAGCCGCGGCGCTGGCCCACTGTTTATATATATATTTTCTTTACTCATCTGATAATGGGCACCTTGGTTGTTTCTGTATTTTGGCTATTGTGAACAGTGCTGCTATGAACATGATGGAACAGATATCTCTTGTGCTGTGAGTTCATGTATTTGGGGAATATACTCAGTAGTGGGATACCTGGAATTGTATTTATGATAGTTACATTTATTTTTTAAAGAAATCTCCATACTGTTTTCAACAGTGGCTCCACAAATTTAAATTCTCAACAGCAGCATATAAGAGTAACCCCTAGGGCCGGCAATGTGGCGCAGTGGTTCATGTCCTGGCCTGAGGTGCCGGCATCCCATATGGACGCCAGTTCGAGACTTGGCTGCTCCACTTCCAATCTAGCTCTCTACTATGGCCTGGGAAAGCAATACAAGATGGCCAAGTCCTTGGGCCCCTGCACCTGCATGGGAGACCTGGAAGAAGCTCCTGGCTCTTGGCTTCGGATCAGCATAGCTACAGCCATTGCAGCTAGTAGGGGAGTGAACCAGTGGATGGAAGATCTTTCTCTCTCTTTCCGCCCCTCCTCTCTCTGTGTATCTATGCATTTCAAATAAATAAGTAAATCTTGAAGATGGCAGAATAGTGAGGGCGCGCACTGATAGTCCAGGAAAAGATAGTTTAATAAAAGTGGAGTTACTGTAGTCTCAGGAAAAGGCTTGGGAAAAAATTGCAGAGGAAACTCTTCCGGATCTAGTGGATATGACACAGAGGACCTACGGGGAGAGCAAGGATGCCCACGGTGCAGAAGCTGAGGCATGGAAGCCGGGCCATGGAGTCTGCACGCCAGCGCTGGAAGGGGAGGTGAGACAAAAACCTCAGTAACCCGAGTCATTGTCGGGGAAAGGCAGAAAATGCCTAGAGGGAACGAGGCTTGAAGCCCCGCTGGGGAAAGTTCACCAGGCTGACTGGAATAGAGAAAAAAAAAAAAAACGAATAAATAAGGGGAACCAGCACGGACACTAGCCTCTCTCTCCACTCACATTACAAAACCGAGCAAGACAAAGAGCGGGCACCATTTTGGACATACATAAAGTGGCGCCTGCCATCAGCCTAGCAGAAAAACCTGACTCTGGTGGGGAGAAATAACTGGAGGTTAGAACCTAGTGAAAGTGTGGAGCTAACGAACTGAGACTGTGAAAATCTAAGGGTGGGTGAGAGAACTCACCGAGTACACAAACAAAGGGAAGTAATTCTGCTCAGCTGAGCTCTTCTTGATGGCAATCAGTGCCTGAGTGCTAGCCCTAGTGGGTATAATATTTGCTTTGTCCCAAAGACCACACAAAGGATCTGTTCAGTCCTCAGTGTAAGCTCAGATTCCCCTACAATGTCTCTAACTGGGTAGCCAAAGCCACCTGAATTTGTGGCGTCTCCCACCGAGACTACTCACATCTCAGCCACACCGTGAGTTCTCCCACACACCCTCATTTTTTTTTTCCACAGTCCTGGTTCATAAGCTTCACACATTCACTACGTCTTAGTCTCCTGATCTTTCTCCCCACCAGAGTCAGGTTTTTCTGTTTGGCTGAGGACAGGCACAGCCCCAAGCTGGCGCAGCTGTTATGTATGTCCAAAATGGTGCCTTCTCTATTGTCTTGCTCACCTTTGTAAGGTGAGTGGAGAGAGAGAATTGTGCCCATACCAGTCCCTTTTATTTATTTATTTTTCTGTCCTCTAGTTAGGCTGGTCTACTTTCCCCCACGGGGCTTCAAGCCTTGTTCCCTCTAGGCTCTTCCTGCCACTTCCCCACCAGTGTCTCGGGCTACTGAGGTTTTGCCTCACCTCCCTTTCCAGCACTGGTACGTAGACTCAGTGCCTGGGGTCCTAAGCCGTGGGCGCCCATGCCCTCCACGTAGATCTACCGTGTCCCTCCATTTGCGGAAGAGTTTCCTCTGGAGTTTTTTCCCTAACTCTTCCCTGAGACTACAGTATCTCCACTTTTATTAAACTATCTTTTCCTGGACTATCAGCGAACTCCCTCCCTATTCTGCTATCTTGGAGCCGTCAACTCCCTATTTGTAAAACAAAAAGTATGATTTTATAGCCTGTCTGACATGTTTTGTTATTATGGGGAGAATACATTGTTCTCTACTTCTTGACCCAACATGGTAAAAATCTAACTATTTTGTTCTTGGGAACTCTTACATCAGTAAGACACTTTGTTTTGTTTGCCTCACTTTTCTGTCTGTGTGGGTTTATTGTGTCATTCAGATTACTACTGATCCTTGGAGGTAGAATGAGAATTTTCACAGCTGCATGCATTAAGTTCCTAACGGCACATAGTCAATAGTTGAAGTTTAATGGATTCAAATGATAGCGCCACCATAAAAATAGCCAAATAAGTAAATGTCTAACTATGCAGATAAAACTGAAGATTTAGGCCAAAGTTCCAGCAGTGACAGGAACAGAGCCTTAGGAACCACTCTTCTTTAAATTGTAAGGGCTTTGGTCTGAGAGACCTTTAAGCAGGGAAAGCTATGACATTCAGAATGAAGAAATGGTCAGAGTGATAACGCCTAGGCACATGAGCTGAAAGATTCACATCTATGACAGCCAATGAGAGTGCTCCCCAAAATTGATGCTAGCCATGTACCACACTAATGGGAGATTATTTTACTATCAATATCAGGGTCATGAGATAGTGTGGGTTGTTTGTAAAGCAAGTCAGGGGTTTTGTTTCTTTGCCAATTTGTTTACTTCTTAATTTCAGATTTTTAGCCAACTTTACAAAGCCATGCCAACTTTTCTTGAACTTGGACTTTGTTAAGTCTTGTCTGCAGTACCCTTGGAACTTCTCTAATAATAATAACAAGCTTAATAGCCATGGATGTGACTCTTTTTTTGTACACTGGCCTAAGGAAAGAATTTAGATTGCTTTCTCTTCCACAGGAAGGTTAAAGAATGTGGGGAGCACAGTTTGACTGCCTATGGCATATACGGCATAATGGCATAGACTTCTTTGGAATATGAATTAAAATAAGAATTATATGCACACATTTATCCAAAATTTTATGTATTTCCTGAGGTTATCTATAAATTAAAATTTACATATATGCTACAAAAATAAATAAATCTGTTAGTCTAAGTTTTGTCTTTAGGAACAAAACTATGGGTCCCTTATATCTTTTTTGTAAGAGTTTTGGAGTTACTAAAAATCCTGACACCTTATAACATTTTTAAAATATTTATTTATTTATTTACTTGAAAAGCAGAGTTACAGAGAGAGGGGGAGAGAAAGAGAGAGGTAGAGATGGAAAGATCAATCTGCCATCTCTGTTTCTCTCCCCAAAAGGCTGCAATGGCCAGAATTGGGACAGGCCAAAGCCAGGAGCCTGGAATACCCTCCGGGACTCCTTCTGGCTGCAGGGTCGCAAGGACTTGGACTATTTTCTGCTGCTTTCCCAGGCACATTAGAGGGGAGCCAGATCAGAAGTGGAGTTGCCCATATGGACACTTAAACCACTGCACCACCATACCCACCCCTTCTTAAAACATTTTTAAATGCCTTTAAAAACATTTTAAGCAGAAAGATGATAATTTTCCTGTAGCTTTCAATCTTTTATAATCAAAGTTTCCAGCATGATTATTTTAGGACAAAATAATATAATGAACATTTTTGCTAAGTTTTTTGTTCCTTTTTTGTTTTTCTTGTTTTCAGCTTTCTAAAAAATATGGAGTCCATGTTTGTGGAGAAGGAGGAGAGTATGAAACATTCACTTTGGATTGCCCTCTATTTAAGAAGAAAATAATTGTGTAAGATATCATTTCAGCATTTTCTCCCCTTTCCTTAAGTGATAGAAGCAACTTAATATTAAGCTTGAGGCAACTTTTGTTGGGAGAAATAGAACATGTCCTCTAAGTTCACAAACACTCAATTTGTTTAATACCAGTGAAGTCGTCTGAATACCTAAATCAATACCTGACAAGAAGAGGCCTTCATAGAAGGCTATAAACTTTTTAGACATTGCACTTTCGTTTACTTGCTGATTATGGCCTGCAGTAAAACTGGTACCTACACACTGACACTTTTATCCTTTCATGAAGTGTGAATTGCCTGTATTATTTATCTTTCATTACGGCTACATTTGATAAACTGCCACATCAGTAGCCTGTGGGTTCCATTAACTCCATCCTCTGTTTCCTTTTTCCTAGCTTTAACAGCTTAAAATTGTACTACTAAACATCTCTCTTCAGTTTGGGGTTATTTTTACATATAAACTTTGTGTTTAAATGAATTCAGCTTATGGTGAGTAGTATGATTTCATTGCCAGAAATTGTTCAAATTAGTGTGGTGATAAAACAGGAACTTTTTCAGTTTGTTACCCACGTTCTTAATTTATATTGTTCTCATATGCTAAGAAAGTATTTAATCTGCTTTTCCTAAACTGTTTGCTTCTTGAAAAAGAGTGTCAGAATTATGCTTAATTGAATGGACAGTTTCAACACTAAAACTTGAATTCTTTGTACCTATTACTGAGAGAATGAATGATCTAAGAAAATTAAGACAACCCTAGGTAGATTTTCTAAAAAATACTTTTATCTAGTGACACATGGCAAGCTATTTTCATTACCATATGCAGTATTCATGTACTTTTGCTTCTTTGATGTTGTTCTAACTTCTTTTTCATTAATAACATGATAATTATTTAACAAATATTTATCAAGTACCTATGTCTGAGGCATTCAGCTGGACACCATTATTGTTCAAAAATAATGTCTGCCTTCTGAATAGTGGAGGAGGACATACCCTGTGTGTAATTATGGTACAAGGTGGTAAGGATAAGAGTTGTAAGTTCTTGGATGGGAGATATTCTTATGGCCATCTACAGAATGAATCATAAATGGAGTATATTACTTCTGGGAAGTAATACTGTTTGATTATTCAAGAAAAGCATTAGCATACTAGAATAGAATTTTAGCATATTGGAAAACATGGGATAGATTTACTTATTAAAATGGACATAACCAAATTATTTTTAAAAGAACAGCAATAGGGCTGGTGCTGTGGTGCAGCAGATTAAAGCCCTGGTCTGCAGTACTGGCATCCCATATGGGCGCCAGTTCGAGTCCTGGCTGCTCCAGTTCCTAACCAGCCCTCTGCTGTGGCCTGGGAAAGCAATAGAAGATGATCCAAGTGCTTGGGCCCCTGCACCCATGTGGGAGACCTGGAGGAAGCTCCTGGCTCCAGGCTCTGGATCAGTGCAGCTCCGGCCATTGCAGTAATCTGGGGAGCAAACCAGCGGATGGAAGACGACCTTTCTCCCTCACTCCCTCTCTCTCTCTCTCTCTCTGCCTCTCCCTGTCTGTAGCTCTGCCTTTCACATAAATAAATAAATAAATTTTTAAAAAAGCAATAATATAGAAAATGCCAACGAATAGTGCTTTTCCCACCTACCTGACAAATTGAGCTCCTTGAACACCAGAAGTCTTTAGAGACAACTTATAATTAGAACACATATACTGCTTTACACTATATAACCAAAAAGTCTGTTTATCATAGTACTTTAGGTATGAAAAATTAATCTTTTTTATTGTCTTCATTTTGTAGACAAGTAAACTTGAGCCTGACAGAGACAGTGACAAAAGGAGACTTAGTCACACTATTAAAGAGAAATTGTCAGGGAAGATGTATTAGAACCCCCCAGTGCTGGAATGAGTTGTTCGTTGCAACTGAATAATAATCATTTACTGAGGAAGATTATGTGGGTGGAACTCTGCAGACTGCCTCCCTTCTGTATAGGAGCTCTTTGTAACAGTAGAGATGGACAGGCATAGATTAGCAATATGTGATAAGTGTTCCCATATGGGTGTGTACCTTGAGAACACAAAGGAAACAGTGTCTTTTCATTCTTATGCATCTATCAGTTAATCGGCATCTAATTCTGACATTTAAAAATATTCTTTGTATTTTTTATAAGCTGTGCCTTCAGTTTCAGACTTTCTGATTCTTTTGACCTAGATTACTCCTCACTTTGACAAATCCTTCCATTTTTAATGGCTTTTTCGCTGATGGCAGACACCTTGCCTCAGTTCGTTTTCACAAATGGAAGAATGAAGTATAGTTTAGAGAAATGAAAGTAAGTGTAGTAAAGCAAAAGCTATTTAAATGTGTTCCAAAGGAGGAATGGGCCAATGGAAAGAGCATATGGCCTCCTTATGGATAGTAAGACTAAGTATATTCCAAAGGAGGAACAGGCCAGTTGAAGGAAAATATGGTACCCCTACTTCCTGGTTTGAGACCTTTATCCCTAAAGAATAAGGGATACTGGGGCCAGAGCTGTGGTATAGCAGGTAAAGCCGCCACCTGCAGTGCTGGCATACCATATGGGTGCTAATTCAAGACCCAGCTGCTCCACTTCTGATCCAGCTATCTGCTATGGCCTGGGAAAGCAGTGGAAGATGTCTGGAGTCCTTGGGTCCCTGCACCCACATGGGAGACCTGGAGGAAGCTCCTGGCTCCTGGCTTCAGATCGGTATGGTTCTAGCTGTGGTGGCCAATTGTGGAGTGAACCAGCTGATGGAAGGCCTCTCTCTTTCTCTCTCTCTCTCTCTCTCTCTCTCTCTCTCTCTCTCTCTCTGCCTCTCCTCTGTGTAACACTGACTTTCAAATAAATAAATAAATCTTTAAAAAAAATGAGGGGTGCTGACTAGTAAGGTGGCCTTGGCTTATGGTTGGCGTTCGTGATTGACAGCTGGGAATTCCATACCCTTTGGCTCTTATGTGGCTATAAATTAGATTTTCTAGTTTGGTTGAACTCCCAGTTTATCAGGATACTGTTAACAAATTAAACCTCAAAGTGAGCAGTCTTGAGTGGGTCCCAGCAGAGAGGGATTTACCTTGGAAGAGGGTCCCCATTGCTTATGCCTAATTATCGATCTGACACTTTGGCTACTATCACCTCCAGTGCCTGATCTATACCTGCACTCTCAGAATATACAATAGACACAAAAAATGTTTGTTCAATATTGTTGATTTGTTATTTGTTGCTTATTTTTATTTACATTTTTTGTTTTACTTTTAGAAATTCCATTTTTAAATTATAACTAGAGATTATAGCTTGGTACATATCCTGGTTAGTTGAAAAAGGATATTCTTTACTATGACATCAATCTTTATTCCTCTTTAATATAAAGAGATATCTTTCTCATATCTGCCTAATATCCACTGAATGTGATATGAGTGAACATGCATTGTTCATTCTAAAATTGTATGTAAATTAATGTTATCCCATCTAGAGATAATCTATTTGACACAATTAAAAAATAAGCTTAGTTTCTGTAACTTTTTAAGAATTGACCATTAATAATACTGGTTTTATATGAAAAATTATTTTTTAAATGCTGGATCTTGTAAATTAGATTTCATTTTTGGGACATAGTTAACAACTCCTCTTACATGTGGTATAATACTATCATATCCTCTCCTCTCCTCTCCTCTCCCCTCTTCTCCCCTCCCCTCCCCTCCCCTCCCTTCTTCTTCTTGTCTCACCTCTCAAATACTTTTTCAAATGTTTAATATTTTTATGTTAGTGGCCAAGGGCCACATTTTGCCGCAGCATATTTTGCTGTACTACAATGGTCCAAATGATAACAATCTGTTAATGAAAACAATGGAACTACTTCCTGTATTATTAAAGAGAAGAATTTCTGTTTTAAAATTTTCAGTTGAAATGCAAAATATTATCACTCTCTTAATAAACAATAAAAGTAATTTGTTATTAGAACTTCACACGTAATCTCAGTTATTCATATGCACCTTACAGGGTATCTTTGATAAAAGTTGAGTTAATTTACATGTATCCATATGGTGCCAGCAAGCAGTTCATACTATTTCACCTGAATGTGGTAATTACTATGTCAGACAATCAATTTTAATAGCACTGATATGGCAGTGTGAAGAGTTCATCTAGAGCTTAAAACCATCACCAGTACTTCTTTTGTAAAGGATAATTGAGATTTTGTGTGAAACACTGAGCGAATTACCTCTTGAAAATGAAAAGAATAATGAAGATAAAGCACTGATTTTTAATGTTTAGCCCATACCAAACAAATTTGTGAAAATGAAATTGAACAGGAGTTTAAGTCTCAAAATTGTTCAGAAAGCTTTGAGTGTGCATGAAGGATGTCCTTATAAAGATGAAAAGCCTTATTTTTTTTTCCAAATGTTCATTGTTCATGATCATTTTTCCAATTAAAAAATACTTGATTAATAACAATTCAGATTAATCACTGCATATTGTATACTGGAAGAAATATATAGAAAATGAAGATTTTTCTCACTTCTAATTAGTAGCAGGAATGATTGCTATAATTTATGTAGTGGATAAATGTACTTTTTTTGTATTTTAGGGATTCATCAGAAGTAGTCATACATTCAGCTGATGCATTTGCACCTGTGGCTTACCTACGCTTTTTAGAACTGCACTTGGAGGATAAGGCAAGTAAATCAGAGATACACAGTGGCTCTTAAAGAAAATTAAGATATGTTAATTCATTCTGTGTACATAATTGTATAACAACAGGTGACAGGATAAAGGAAATTAATTTTAACATTAGTGATTTTTTTCCAGCTTCTTAGTAAACTACTAAGAATTTTACAAATATTTATACTTTTGAGAGCTCTTTATGTTTCAAAAGGCATTACCTTTCTAAGGAGTATGCAGTTCAGATGAAAGGAAATAATAAATATATTAAACAAAGGGAAGACAGGACAGTGGAAGACTAAATATTAAGTCGTTTAGCAAAATAAGAATTAGGTTATTACGTGTAAGCACTAAAGGAAAGATTTAAGGATGAATTGTATTTCCATTATAAAGTTTGAAAGGGGAAATAAAAACTTTTCAAAGAATATCTAGGAGAATAGAAGTGTAAGTAAAGGATGTAAAGTGAAACAAAGGTACATTAAAGAATTTCATTTTTAAATACATTTATTATCAACAGGCAGCAGAATGTCAGTTAAAAGATATGAATCTTAATGAAGAATGGGTTGGGAGAGGGAGTAGGAGATGGGATGGTTTGCAGGTGGGAGGGTGGTTACAGGGGGAAGAATTGCTATAATCCAAAAGTTGCACTTTTGAAATTTATATTTATTAAATAAAAGTTTTCTATTAAAAAATAAAAAATAAGGGGCCGGCGCTGTGGCTCACTTGGTTAACCCTCTACCTGCAGCACCGGCATCCCATATGGCCGCCGGGTTCTAGTCCCAGTTGCTCCTCTTCCAGTCCAGCTCTCTGCTGTGACCCAGGAAGGCAGTGGAGGATGGCCCAAGTGCCAAGTGCTTGGGCCACTGCACCCGCATGGGAGACCAGGAGGAAGCACCTGGCTCCTGGCTTCAGATCAGAGCAGCTCCAGCCGTTACGGCCATCTGGGGGGTGAACCAATGGAAGGAAGACCTTTCTCTCTCTCTCTCTCTCCCTCTCTCTCTCTCTCACACTGTCTTAACTCTGTCAAATAAAAAAGAAAAGAAAAGAAAAGAAATAATAAATAAATACAATTTTAGAAAGGAAAAAAAGGATATGTGTGGAATAGGTAAAGATCTGGATTGCATCCTTTGATTGAAAAGTGTGATCCTTGAGATGTTGCTTTATATTTATCAGCATAAAATTGATACCTGAAATTATGTGGTGAAATGGCAGTGACATAAAGTAAGATTAGAGAAAGTCTTCTGTATCTTTATCTTAAGGCACATCTATGTTGATGATAGGGGATCTGAAGAATCAAAAGGGTTAAAGAAGATTCAGCAAAGGTAGAGAACGAATGATAAACCCAGAAATTTCAGAATGGGAGAGTTTTCACAGTTGAGAATAGTTAGAGAAAAATGGCAGTGGACTGGTTGATAATAGATTGTCAAATTGACCTGGAAGATGCTTGCCTCTTGGTGACATTTTGCAAAAAATAAAATAAAATAAAACTGGTAATGAAATGGGTTACCTTTATTTTAAAATCATTAATTAATTTTCAAGGGCTCTTGCTGCCTATCTATATAAGAATTCTACATATCGTCTGTAAATGGAACAGACAATGTGGTATGGTTTAATGTTTAGAAAAATACACAGGGAAACTGAGGGCTTTATTTAAGGGTTTAAAAAGGAGTCAGGGATTTAAACTGGGAGTTTCATACCAGGCTTTTCCAGGGAGTGGACCAGAGGATGTAAGGGATAGAGAGCACATGGGCAGAAGAGCAGCCACATGAACTGCATGGGTTTGCAGGCACCAAAAAGTTGCCCACACCAAGAGGCGTGGGGGTGAACAAAGGGGCAGGCCCTGGCAATCCATGCCTTTTAGTCACTTCCAAAGGGGAGTGGTTACATAGTGGTCATGTACAAGTGGGATCAAGTAGGGGTTTGAGATCAGGAAAGGGGGCAAGGGAGGTGTGGTTTTCCAGCTCATGAATCAATTTAATTTAATCCTATCGGCCTGCCCCTAACATTAATAACCCTCCAGAGAATAAATGAGTACTATGCAAACATCTTTCAGACTTACTGAAAGCTACCCCTTACTTCTTGTTCCCTGTAACATTTAACCATGTACATAAACAGGAAAAAAATCACTGATTCCTTGTTTGGAAACTCCTGACATGACACATTCAACTCTATCTGAATAGTTGATATTCACCTTGTTTTGCTATTTAACTGGTTCTTACAGTCCATTTGCCCAATTGCACATAACAGTTTTACTTCTTTGAAGCGGTATATTCACTGACACTGAATAAATATGGTACTTTTTTTTTCTTCTTTCTCTCTCTCTCTTTTTTAGGTGTCTCCAGTGCCTGACAATTTCAGAACATCTAATTATATACATAATTCTTGAAAAACATTTTTGAACATTATTGACTAAGCCATCATTTCTATATGAAAACAGTTATGAACAGCTTTTTTTAAAATGTTTGTCAATTGTCACAAACAGCTTTTTCTCATTATCTTAGAAAAATATACCATTATCAGAAAAAATAATGAAACCATTGATTCATTGGAAAAATATCAATGACATGTTCACTAGTTCTACAGACTTCCTTGAGATTTACTTTCTCTTTTGTTGACACATCCTCCCTATAACCTCTGTGTGTTATGTGCCTCTTTTTTCCCTTTTTCTTTATCTCCAACTCTCATTTCTGTAACAGAAATGGCTTTTCTTTGTCACACTGATTTCTTCTCCTTTTTTCTCTTTCTCCCTCTCCACCCCCACTCCCCATCTTTTAACTTCTATCCCTGCCAGTTATGTCATCATGCAGAGGCTTTTTAAAATGAGGTTGAAAATGTGTAGCCAATCAATGAGCTTATTCTACCAGGTGTCACCCAAAGTGCTTTCTCAGTTTATTTTTATTTTTTATTTCATTTCTGAGATAACATTTTTAATTTATATTGTAATCAGAGGCTTCATACTCCACTAAATTAAGAGTTCAATGAACAAAAAGTTAAAAAAAATAAAAAAAAAACACAGTTCATCAGGAATATAGGCAAGGGCTATAAACAATTATCAAATAAATATATTAATTTCACCCATATTAAGTATATGTTTAAATAGCCACAGGTCATTGAAACTATAGTAGTATATCCTCCTCAATAATGAAACTATAGTAGTATATCCTCAATATCATCCTTAAAAATTTTTTAATTTTAAAATAAAGTTTTATAACAAAATTTGCCAGAACATTGTATTAGTGGCAAAATCAATACAGGCATTTCTTTCATTATTTTTTATTTTAGTTCCCATATAAGGGAACTAAATATATAAGGGAGAACATGCAGTATTTGTCTTTCTGTGTCCAGATAACTTCACTCAACATTATGTCCTCCAGTCTCACTTTAGCTTTGAATATATTCACGGCTCAAGAATTTTAACATTAATAGGTAGTGAGGAAGAATGTTATTAACTTTTACTAGATATGGTATAGCTGATTTTGAAAGGGGGGGCCAGTTTTCATTAATACCTGTGCTGACTTTAGATAACTTTAAAAAAAGAAAGCTTTCTTTAGAACAGTTTTAGGTTTCATGGCAAAATTGAACATAAGATAGAGAGAATTCCCCTACACATATGTACCTCTCTCCTATTATCATCATCCTGCACCAGAGTGATGCATTTGTTAACAGCTGATGAACCTACTTTGACACTTCATTATCACATGAAGTCCATAATTTACATTCAGGTTCACTTGGTTATGAACATTCTGTTGTATAATTATATGTGTATAATAACATGTATAGTGACATGTATCCTTCATTATACTATCATGCAGAGAATTTTCACTGCTTTAAAAGTCCTCTGTGCTCCACCTATTCATTCTTCCCAACCATCTAGTCCCTGGAAACCACTGATCTTTACTGTCTCCGCAGTTTTTCTTTTTCTTAAATGTCGTATAGTCAGAAACATAATGTGCAGCCTTTTCAGATTGGCTTATTAATATCCATTTAGGTTCTTTCATATCTTGTTATGTTTTGATAGCACATTTATTTTTAGTGCTGAATAACAGTACCTGGATATACCATATTTCCTTTATATATTCATCTACCAAAGGAAATTTTAGCTGGAAATTATGAATAAACTTACAACACACATTCCTGTGCAGGCTTTTGTGTAAACCTAAGTTTTCAGTTTACTTGTTTAAAGACCAATGAGTCCAATTACTAGATCTGATGATAAGAGTACGTTTGGTTTTTAAAGAAAGTACCAGAGTGGATTCCAAAGTAACTGTGCTATTCTTCATTCTAACCAGCATTCTCATTTGTTGTTTCGCATCCACCAACTCTGAGCATTGTCTCTATTTTGAACTTTTGTCATTGTAGTAGGTTTCTAGTGAATGGCATTTCATAATTTGTTTTTGGTATTGGATCTAGAAGATCATCCCCAAGCCCAAGGTATCTCAGTTTTCTCCTATGTTATCTTCTAAGAATTAAATAGCCTTGTGTTTTAAACTTGTCTGTAATATAGTTTAAATAATTTTTAAAGGAAGTAAAGTCTATATATATTTATATATTTATTATTTAGGTTGCCAGTTGTTTCAGCACCATTTGCTTGAAGGAGTTATCTTTGCTCTGCTGTGTGGCCTGGTTCTTTTGTATACTTCTGTGGTGTACTCTGGGCTCCTTACTCTGTTCTGTTGATTCTAATTGTCTGTTTCATTGCCAGTGCCACACTATCTTGATTACTGTTGCTGCATAGTAAGTCTTGAAGTATGATAGTGCCCATCCTCCAGCTGTATTCTTCTTCAGTATTGTATTGACTATTCTCATGTTTTGCTTTTCCATATAAACAGTAGCATCAGTTTGCTAATATTCACAAAATAATTTTCTGAGATTTTGACTGGAATACATTCAATCTGTGAATCAAGGTGGGAAGAATTGATGTCCTGACTGTATTGGGTGTTCTTATGCAGGAATATGGCATATCTCTATATGTTTTAAGTTCTTAGAACACTATTTAGTTCATTTGCGTTTGACT